AGGTCTCTGCTTTTCCATCATTTCAGTGGGTCCTGCGTGAAATTCCTCTGCAAGCTGTTGAAATGAATGGAGGTGGGTAAGTCAGTTAACATCAAGAACGGCCAGTGGTAGGGTTGTCATGCAACTGGAGCTTCGGCCGCCGTAAGCAGCGTCTGGGCGAAACCTGCTGAAATGTCCAGGAAAACCCTGACATTTGGCAACCCGTATCAGCAGTGTCGTTTTTGGCAATTTCCCGTTGTGTGTCAAGGTCCCCAAGACACACCCCCATTGACACTTGATTTTAGTTTAAGGTTTTTGGCATAATTTTGGCCACAACTTTATTAAAATTACAAGAAATGTGAGTGGTTGCTTAGGCATTGGTTGTGACTATCTGACCCCGCACGGGGACAGACTGACATTTGCACGCCCGCAAAGTCAGAAAGGGAAAACATTTTGGGGAGAAAGACGGAACTGGGAACCATGCCTCACCTCTCCCCAAATGCTCCCAGGGGCTCTTGCATGGCCCTAGCCCCTTGACAGGGGTTCGGACAAAAGCATGACGAGCCCCAGGGTTCTTTTAACAGAAACCCTTGCAGCAGCAGCATTTTGGAGGGACAGGCACAGCCAATCCATACCCCTCCACCAACCAGTTCCTAAACCAATGCCTAACCGCAACCTTACAAGTTGTGACGATTTGCTACGCAGTAGGCAAAAACCAAATGGCACCAGCCAATCAGCCAAATGGCCAATTTCCTACCAGGCCCCTGCCCCCAAAGCAGATGATCCCATGACAGGCATAGCAAGGTCAAGCGAACAACCCTGAACATAGGGAGGGTGGGCGGGTGATCCGATGCGCGCAGCGAAAAGAGGAAGCTCAATGCTGCGTGCAGGGTATTTAAAGGCTATGGCTGTCAATCACAAAATGGCAATATATAAATCTCCCAGCAACAGGAAGCTCCATGATAATGGTGGCCAAACTCTTTTCCCGCCCAGCAACAGTGGGTGTCTTGCTAGCCCCCACTGCAACATGTGATCTCCATGAAGGAGAACACGCTTAAAAATCGCTCAAAAACTACACGTCACCATCTAAAGAACACCCACCACCCTGAAAACCATCAAATTCATAATCCCGAGTTTACACCATGTAATGCCTTTGCTGAAGAAGCAGCGTTGGCGGCTAATATGGTACCAAGCTAAGTTCAAGGTTCTGTGTTCAGCATTCAAAGTGAAAACCTGGAGATGTTTACATTGCCTGACTCAAGTTCTGGTTGAGAACCAGGAACCCTCCAGCTTACATTGCAGGATGGGATATAAAAATATAAAATGATAACAGTGGCTGCCAGTGGGCCACTGGGGGTAAGGATATGATACTTGTACCTTGTATACAAAGATGAAGACCTAAAATATCATCTCATCCCTTCCATACTCAACTTATCACTGTGATCCAAAGGAGAGAGCCACCATCTAATCAGGAGGCCTATTCTGTACAACATCAGAATTGGGCCTCAGTCCAGTATACCTGAAGGAGCGTCTCCACCTCCATCATTCTGCCCGGACACTGAGGTCTAGCGCCAAGGGCCTTCTGGCGAGAAGCCAAGTTACAGGGAACCAGGCAGAGGGCCTTCTCGGTAGTGGCACCCGCCCTGTGGAATGCCCTCCCACCAGATGTCAAAGAGAAAAATAACTACCAAACTTTTAGAAGACATCTGAAGGCAGCCCTGTTCAGGGAAGCTTTTAATGTTTAATAGGTTATTGTATTTTAGTGTTCTGTTGGAAGCCGCCTAGAGTGGCTGGGGAAACCCAGCCAGATGGGCGGAGTATAAATAATAAATTATTATTATTATTATTATTATTATTATTATTATTATTATGTGGTAGCACCTACTTTTCCCAACTCCTTCCCATCGCAGGCACCATCTTTATTCACTTTTCGGCGCCTGTTGAAGACTTTACTCTTTCAACAGGTCTTCTAAGTGGGGTTTTTTTTTTTTTTTTGGTTAAATGCATTTTATTTTATTTTTTTATAAGATATTTATTAAGATTTTCAAAATGTTACAAAACAAAAACAAAAAAAGAAAAAAGTACAAAATAAAAATGGCTAAAAACAACTCAATCTTTCCATTACTTATTACTTAAGTGGGTATTTTTTGTCCCAATCAGTATCAGAGCTTTTTATAAAAATGTTTTATATATGCAATTGTCTCCTCGTCACCAGCATACATGAGATCATCTAATTTTATTCTTTGGCTCAACCTGACAGTCACGCCCAGAGATGTTGGAGAATTCTAACAAAAGCAGAAATGGGGGCAGAAATTGCTTCTGTTTGCTTAATTGTCCCATGTCCAGAACAGAAATCTATCCAGTGAATACAATTGCTAACTGCTGTTGTTGTTGCTGCTGTTTCAGTTATGTAATTGGTTATGGTTTCCCCCACAATCTGCATTGTGTTTCCTTTGCATTGAAATGAATGGGGTGGACAATGTAATTAATTACACAAATTACATGATTTTGCCAGAAAGGACAGTGAGAAAAACAATGTCGTTTTTGGTGGAAGACAAACGGCAGCAGAATGGAAATGGTGCTGCGTGCAACAAATGCAAGGGCACAACAGAAAGCGATGCCTTGTTATATCCCTAGCCACACAACCTGTGACTTCATAGTTGAACACTGGACTGGAATCCAAACACCAATTTCCAAATACCGACTGCACCCTGGAGATCTGGATCCCCAACAGACAAAATGGAAGGGTGCAGAAACTGGAGTGGACATGGTCAAACATGCGGAAGAAAATACAGAATCGTTCCCCACAAAATGTTAGTTGCCTCCAGCAGGGGGTCTTCGCATGCAATGGAAACGGACAATAGGAATTTTCTTCTTCCTTCTTTTTTTAAAAAAGAAATGAGCATTTTTGTCATACTTAAAGTATTTAGCCTGACTGCATCTGTGAATGAAGACATTAAAAAAAGCCATTATGTTTTCAAGTTCAGTTAATAATAAGGCTATTTTTCCACCCACTTGCCAGGCCCAGCTGCAATGTTCTAGGGCTCAAGTGGGAGTCAATGCAAAACAAGGATTAGGAAGATAAATGATATACAGAATACAGTGCCAGTTCACATAAAATATTAGCAGATTGGAAATGACTGTTTACTGTCTCACTGACTACATGATGACTTTCGTGTCTCCCAAAGAAAGTACAGAAAACCATCTGTCGATAAAGGAGACCGTGTCGCACCTGGGTCATGACAAATTAATTTTTGAGCCAAGCCTGTGAGGGGTATGTGAGTATACACACACACACACACACACACACACACACACACGTCAGCCAAGCCTTTAAGGAGTTTGTCTCTACCCACCCAGGACTATTTTAACACGACACAAACGCTGACCAACTCATTCATCAACATTAGCGGAGAGCAAATTTGGATGGCTGGGCTTTTTTGCTTTGTTTGTTGTTTTTACCATAGCTAAACTACTTCATTATTAAGGAAATAAGGGCTGCTTCCAGAGCCAATCTGAGATTTTCTGCTGCCAGAGTTGGCACCCTACAACCAAGTAAACCTAGATAGTACCTCTGGCCGCACACAGAGTTGGTATTAAATCAACGATTTATTTCATACCTGCAGGCAGAGGAAAAATAATCTGCACCACTCTGCTGCCCATCCTCTCTTCCTGTAAGGCGAGGGTAGATAATGTGCTGCCATCCAGATGTTTTGGGCTACAACCCTCAGTTCTTCCTCCCTCCCTCTAGTCTGGGTAGCCGTCAGTGAGAGATGCCACCAGGATATCTCTCTGTTCTTCCAGGTTGGCAGCTGGCCAGCCAGGTGCCTGGTTGACTTTGGTTTCCCTGCCATTGTGCCTTGCCAGCTCGGAGCAGCTGCGAGAAACGTTCCATGCCAGGAAGTCAACTTTCCATGGCATGAGTCAAGTGCCACGTGGAGGTGCAACGAAAGGAATATAATTGGATTGGCCTTAGAAAGGAGAAGGGATACTTGGTCCGGCTCATTTATTCTGCAGAACTGGCCTAACAAGTCAAACACAAACCACCAAGGCCAACTCTTCTGTAGCTCAGTGGTAGAGCCAGTGTCACGGTTCGGTTCATGGGCAATCGAAGTCCCAGCAGGGGACGTCAGGACTGGGGGCAAGATGGCGGGGTGGGAGCAGGAACGGGGGTCCAGAAGCCAGGACTCAGGAAGCCAAGAGTCTGAGGGCCAGAGAGCCGGGAGTCAAGAAGCCAAGGGTCCGAGGATCAGGAAGCAAGGAGTCAAGAAACCGAGGTCCAAGGATCAGGAAGCAAGAAGCCAAATGTAGCAAGGCAGGAAGCGTGTTGCTGTGGCAAAGAGCCGAAGGGAAATGCTGACCTTATATCCCTTCCCAGCTCTTGCCACCAGGTGCTGCGAGTTACCAATCGGCCTCACCTGTGAGGCCATGCCTTGTCTCTTCAGAACAAACTTAGGAAGGTCTCAGTCCTGCAAAGTCCTATTGGTCACAGGGCCTGGCTCCTGCACGCACACCTGACACCCAGCATCTCCAGGTAGGACAAGGAATGTCCCCAATCTGGAACCCTAAAGAGCTGCTGCCAGTCCGTGTAGACAGCACTGAGTTAGACAGACCAATGGTTTGCCTCACCCTACATACTCACCAAGGGTGCTGGAGGTTATAGAAGTCACAAGCTTTCAATGTAGGGTAGGGCTGTCATATTTCAAGGAATAAAACTTCGGACACAAACAGTTGTTGAGCTTTTGCCGATCTGGATCCCCTGCATTCCAACAGAGTCCATCTGTGTATAACACTTTGCTACATAAACTGTTTCCCATGCTTAACAAACCCAAACATCACTTTTTGGTTTATGCCATGAGATACCGGCACTTCTGCATGTTTGTATTAAATCTTCTAGCTATTCCAAACCAACCTGGCCACCAACTTAGATAGGGTTTTCCCAATATCTCCATGATGTCTACTAGCCTTTGATAGCCTTCTCCTCCATGAGTTTGCCTAATTCAGGGTTTCCCAAACTTGGGTCTCCAGCTGTTTTTGGACTACTGTTCCCATCATCCCTGACCACTGGTCCTGCTAGTTAGGGATGATGGGAGTTGTAGCCTCAAAACAGCTGGAGACCCAAGTTTGGGAAACCCTGGATTAGGCAAACTCATGGAAGAGAAGGCTATCAAAGGCTAGTAGACATCATGGCGACGCTCTGCCCTCCACAGTCGGGAGGCAGCAACGCTTCTGAATATCAGTTGCTGGAGGGGAGAGTCGCTCTTGGGCTTGAATCCTGCTCGCAAGGTTTCCCACAGGCATCTGGTTGGTCACTATCCACACAACAGCAGACAGCATGGTTGGGCAGCACCGCTTACCCAACCGCCCAACAGCTGAGTCACTGCTGCCTCCCAGGAAGGAGAGGGGTGAGACAGTGGGGAGGTCAGTGCGGTGCAAACACACTGGGGCTCCTGATGGGGTGTTTGCACTGCGCCAGTCTCCCTGTCACTTCACCCCTCTCTTTACCAGTAAGCAGCAGCAACAGCTGGGAGGTCAGGTGAGTGTCACCACCTTACCATGCTTCAATACGAAGCCTGATGAAGCAGCGTGATAGAAAATGCCAGTGGTGTGGAGAAACCATAGATCAGTGGTACAATTTGCCAACAAACATGGGATGTAGAATGTCAGTGACATGTGAGTGAGATGATTAAGCACCCAGCAATCAAAGACAATGGGAGAGGTTTTACTCCAGCAATATATCTGTCAAAACTACATGTATCTAAATATAGATGGCCGTTCACCCTTGCTAGATTCAACATGCTGCCATCTGCCTTATTGCAGGGCAGATATGTGGATAACGGTATGTGGAGCGAGTATGCGCTTGCCACCTGACAGAGGTGGAAACCCTCTCACATGTCTTGCTTCGATATCGTTTTCATGAGGATATACGCTTGGTCTTCATTACCCCTGTTATACAGAAAATTTCAAGTGGGTTTGAACCTTAATGCTTAAAATCCCTGTTAGAGGACAAGGATACAGAGATCACACTAAGGGTGGCCAAATTTTGTGTGGCTGCCATAAAACTCAGGGAACAATTACAAATTACCTCAGATGCAAACTCTAGATAATATTTTAGAAACTAAGACCAAAACCACATTTCCAATTGCTACCATATTCTATTATTATTATTATTATTATTATTATTATTATTATTATTAATACCCCGCCCATCTGGCTGAATTTCCCCAGCCACTCTGGGCGGCTCCCAATCGAGTGTTAAAAACAATACAGCATTAAATATTAAAAACTTCCCTAAGCAGGGCAGCCTTCGGATGTCTTTTAAAGATAGGATAGCTGCTTATTTCCTTCACATCTGAAGGGAGGGTGTTCCACAGGGTGGGCGCCACTACCGAGAAGGCCCTCTGTCTGGTTCCCTGTAACCTCACTTCTCGCGGTGAGGGAACCGCCAGAAGGTCCTCGGCACTGTATCTCAGTGTCCGGCTGAACGATGGGGGGTGGAGATATTGTTATATTTTATTGCTAATCCAAACTTAATTCTATTGTGTTTTATGCTCATTTAGTATCGTATGTAAAACTGGTCTGGGGCCGTAATAAAATTAATTATAAAATCTATCTATCTATCTGTCTATCTACCTATCTCAGTGGTGGTAAACATACAGTAGTTTGGACTCAGAAGGCTCCATGTTCTATGACTGTCATCTTCAGCTAAAAGGGCCAGGTCACAATTTTTGGAGAGGAAACTTAGCTTGAGATCCTGGAGAGCCCTAAAGCCCAAACAGTACTGGGTTACTGGCAGAACAGTCTAAGCTGGTGTAAGGTGGCTGCCCCTGTTCCAGTCATGGTAAACCTGTGCGCAGAGCTTTTAAATATGACACGAGGTTTCCATGGAATCTACGGAACCAGCCAATGCTTTGTACTACCTAGAGTACCTTGAGATAGTTTAATAGTTGAACGCTATCACTTTATATACTGAAACACCATACAATGTCATTGCAGGTAGCAGCATCCGTTCTTACATCAGGAAAATTCCAAATCTGTAAGAATGTGTCACATTGTAAGGCAGAGGAACGCTGGTGTTCTATAACAGAGACTTGGCATGCCTCCCGTCAGTCTTTTATGGCATTAACAGTTTCAATATATTTTAACCTTCTGTAAAGCGCCATGCAAATTTGCATTTAAATAAGATAGCATGCTCTTCTGGTTAAATAAAACAATGCATTGAGCACAGATACATGTTCTAGATCATGTATATATATTATGCATTGAAATTATGCACACAGAGACACATCAAGAGTTCAATGCATTGTTATTTAAATATTAGCTGGGCTGACAGATAGATATCTAAAACACATATTAGAGCAATCCAGAATGGGCCATCTCTCTCTTCCTCTCTCTTTCTCTCTCCATAATAACTTATGCGTATATAGGAATTTCGTAAGCCAGGGTGGGGGCAGGTTCGGAGCAAAGTGGAGATCATTAAAATGAAAGAATTTTCGGGTGAAAGCAAATTCTATTCAGCTAAGAAGGAAGTAGCGGCAGCTCAGAAAGCATTTCTTGGGTTTAGAACTTCAAGGGAAGAACCGTTTCCATTTGAAAATAAAGGCTTTTTTACTTTTAAAATTGTCTTTAGTGGTGGGTTTTTCTTTCTCCCCTCCCTCAGTAAATGTAGCACTTAATTAGTTCAACAGACAGGGGGAAGAAAGCAATGTTATATATTTAGGGACGTGGTCCCCTCAGTGAAAACAGTACTTGAAAAGCAATAAATAAAATGTATCATTTTATAAAAACTTTAATAATTTCAGGGAGGTGGGGGTGGAAGGAAACAAGGAAGTCAAAAATGAACAGACTAGACAGCCTTCAAGAATTTAGTACTTTATCCACTATTCCAAAAGGCTGCCTTCTCACCCGCCACTGGAAGCAATATTTGAATAATCTAAGCTTGTGTTTTTGAATTGTTTTCAGGCTTCCCACAAGGATCTGGGTGGCCACTGTGGGAATACTTTGCTGGATTAGATGGCCCCTTGCTTGATCCAGCAGGGCTTTCCCTACACACTTATTTCACAGCTTGGGGGTGAACTTTTGGCCTTTTGACTAGGGAAAGTCCCTCAAATATTCCGCTCTGTAGGAACCGCTGTAAAAAACTGTCTCCTCAATGCACAGTTAGGAGAAGAGCCATCAACTCTATGGGGCTGAGGCCTCTACAGCTCCCCAGTTGTCATGCGCATGGCATGTGCCACATCACATGCACAAATCATGCACGTGACATCAGCCCCCCTAATGTTGGGCGTAACTCGGCGCCTTTGGTTAGGAGCCATCATGACACTAGCAGCCTGTTAGCCAATCCTCCCTGCTATTTTTTCTCCTTGTAGCTTCAAAAATTCCAAAATCAAAATGGCAACCTGGGCCATGCAGAAGATTGCAAACACTCCCACGGCTTTAGGGGCATCCATCTAGGAAAGTATATAAATGCAACATAATGGTTTTCCCAGTAGTGATGTATAGAAGTGAGAGCTGGACCATAAAGAAGGCTGATCGCTGAATAATTGATGCTTTTGAATTATGGTGCTGGAGGAGATTCTTGAGAGTCCCATGGACTGCAAGAAGATCAAACCTCTCCATTCTGAAGGAAATCAGCCCTGAGTGCTCACTGGAAGGACAGATCCTGAAGCTGAGGCTCCAATACTTTGACCACCTCATGAGAAGAGAAGACTCCCTGGAAAAGACCCTGATGTTGGGAAAGATGGAGGGCACAAAAAGGGGACGACAGAGGGCGAGATGGTTGGACAGAGTTATAGAAGCTACCAGGATGAGTTTGACCAAACTGCGGGAGGCAGTGGAAGACAGGAGTGCCTGGCGTGCTCTGGTCCAGGGGGTCACAAAGAGTCGGACACAACTAAACAACAACAAATCTCTAAACACATATTTAATGGCCAACATTATGAGGTTTCCCAGCGACGTGATTTTTATTTGATGTGCAACACAAACTTATTTGGGAGTGGAATTTTATACACTCATAATCCTGATACAACCACAGTGGCACAGATGGACAGATAAAAACAGCAGACCTGATGCAGCTGGTAGGGCTTCAGAACATTCCTCCCCTCCTACTTCAGACAGAAATTTGATAGGCTTTTCAGGGACATGGTAAGACTCCAAACAATGGAGCGATCATATCTTGAAGCAGTGGAACAAGGGCAGTATCAACACAGCAGTAAGAAAAAGGGTCTGCTCTTTTTCTCCCCTAGGAAGTGGAAATAGCAGCACATTTCTGATCAGCCCCTGCAACTTGCAGTCAGTGGGGCAGGGCTGAAGCAAGCAAAGCTCAGCGCTGCATTCTGATAATGATGAGTTTTGAGTTTTGATAGGTTTGCCCTTAACATCACCCAATAGTTGAGAAAGGAGGAGGAGAAAACAGAGGCAGACATATATATGGCTGAGGGTAGGGATGGAAGGATCGTTCTGTTTCAATTCCCCCAGTTTCTCATTTTTGCCATCTTATATTCAGTTCACCACATTTCTGCAGCAATTTGTAAACACACACACACACACACACATTATTAAATCCTCATGGAAAAATCTTTAGTGCTTTAGTATGAATATCTCCTAATGAACACATTTTTGCCTGCAGTTTTGACTAACGCGCACATTATTTGCAAGCAACTTCTCTTAACGTCATGCATTTCTGTGTTTTCACTAAAATCTTCATTTCTATACACAATTCCCCCTAATATATGCATATTTGTAAAGACTGGTTGGAGAATTGCGTTGCAAAATTTGGAAAGCTGTGAATTTTGAAGGATAAGTGCAAATTTTGAAGGGTGTCAGTGTTTTGGTTCTCATATTGTTTTGGAACATGCAAATCTGATAAGTTAATTTTCAAATGTGAGCTGAATTGAATTTCTCCCTCATCCTCTAGCTGGGAATGAGGCTGGGCATTCTCAATGAAGTTCTCCTTGCACATTATTAGAATCCCTTTTTCATAGATAAAGGGGGAGAAGATACAAAGCTCAGACACTGTTAGAGTGCCACTGTCAGAGGCAGAGTGACAACATGTTCTCATTTGAAATCTGAAAATATTTTGCAAAGGTTTTAAACTCAAATGTAAGTATAATAGAGACTGCCCTGTGTTACCCTTGCTCAGTCCTGCTGGAGTACAAAGCTTGGTAAGAATTCCTAGTCTGAGGCTGCATATGCACTATACCTTTAAAGCACAGTTTTCTCTCCCTCAAAGCATTCTGGGCACTGTAGTTTGTTAAGGGCTGCTAGGAATTGGAACTCTTTGAGGGCTAAACTACAGTGCCCAGAGTTCTTTGAGAAGGGGAAATGTGGTTTGGATGTGCTTTAAAAGTATTGTGTGTAGGCAATCTGAGCAAGTAAAAAAACCTGTTGATGCTATTGTCTTATTGTTGTTGGCATTCATCTGCCTAGAGCAGGGGTCAACAAACTTTTTCAGCAGGGGGCTGGTCCACTGTCCCTCAGACCTTTTGGGGGGCTGGACTATATTTTTAAAAAATAAATACAGTGGTACCTCAGGTTACATATGCTTCAGGTTACATACGCTTCGGGTTACAGACTCCATTAACCCAGAAATATTGCTTCAGGTTAAGAACTTTGCTTCAGGATGAGAACAGAAATCGTGCTCCGGTGGCGCAGCGGCAGCAGGAGGCCCCATTAGCTAAAGTGGTGCTTCAGGTTAAGAACAGTTTCAGGTTAAGAACGGACCTCCAGAACAAATTAAGTACTTAACCCAAGGTACCACTGTAAATAAACGAATTCCTATGCCCCACAAATAACCCAGAGATGCATTTTAAATAAAAGGGCGCATTCTACTCATTTAAAAACATGCTGATTGCCGGACCATCCGTGGGCCAGATTTAGAAGGCGATTGGGCTGGATCCGGCCCCCGGGCCTTAGTTTGCCTACCTATGGCCTAGAGAGAAAATGGAGTGTGTCTCCAAGGGCAAAGTAAACTGCTGTGTTGGCGTCACCAAAGTGACCTCCACGGGGCGCAAGCTTTGGCATCCCTCACCTGTTCCAACTATTTGCATCTTTCTCTTTCTCACACACAGAGCAATTTATATTTTTGCATCTTACGGCTTGCACTTAGAGTATCCAAGAAACAGGGGGAAAAGGCAGCATTAGGACTTCAAGCTGCAGAACTATGGAAGATCTCAAGGTTGCCATCAGAAGGGATGCGGGAGGAGGCGAGAGGGAGAGAATCTCTCCACGGAGCATTTCCCACACATTTGAGCCGAGCGAATTAGAACTGACACCAAAGGGAGGGGGAAAAAAATCTAATTGAACTAGCGAAAACGCATAACACTTTGCTATAGAAACAAGAGGGCCCTGGTGGAATCACTCAGGTTAATGCTGTCCAACTTGAAACAACAATAATTTTATATCTCATGATCTGCAAACAGAAGAAAGGAAAGCTCTTGTTTAAATATCCTGACATTAAATGGAGAGGAAATTGTGAGGGACAAAGCAATAGAAAAATAGACCTTTCTGTGAGGAGCAGAAAAAAATGTGGCCACTCTGTGAGGGGAAACAATATATATATGTAGAGAGAGAGAGAGAGAGTATACATATATAAATAGATCCTAGTCCTTTGTTTTATCTCACAGCTTAGATCTATTTATTTATCTTTAACATTTATATGCTTTTACTCACAGAAACAAAAACAACGTGATTCTAGTCCCTAGTGAGCTGGGCTGTTATTTATGGCTGATCTAGAAGGCGGAACATTTTCATCAGCACCAATAGTCCTCCCCTCCATTGTTAGTGATTTGGGGAAATTGCTGAATAGACTTCATTTGCCCTCACTGACAAGGATCACCGATATGGACAAGCCAGAAAGCATCGCTTTGTTTGCCGTAGTAAGATCTGATTGGCTCTGCGGTGTTGTGATATCATCACAACCACTACATGTCTCCTGGCTGGGGTGACATTAGGACAGGGGTCACCAACCCAATGCCCATGAAGATTTACAATGGTGCTCCTGGGCAGGTGCCTCAGACTCAGCCCCAACAATTCTCTCAAAATTTGAAATGTGACCACTAGTCAGAAAATGCAGGCAAGCTCTACATTAGGAAGAAGAAAAAACAATGTCCAAAGAGCAGCAAATAACAGAGGAACTGAACAGATCTAAGGGTTCTTTGGGGACACCTCTTTTGCTTCCCAAAAGCAGTTCTCAAACCCAGCAGCGAAATGTCTGAACAGCAGTTAATGTGCAAAGTACTTTACAATGGTATTCACACCATCTTCAGTCCAGTGAGGTTTCCCATCCAATTCCCTAAGCAGTTTCCATATGGGGTATGCGTACCTAAGAATGTCAGCAGAGCCCTGCTGGATCAGGCCAAAGGCCTGTCTGGAACATGTACTGTGTTCTCATAGAACCATGAAAGGGACCCTAAGGATCATCTAGTCCAACCCACTCCAAGGCAGGAATCTCAACTCAAGCATCCATGACAGATGGCCACCCAACCTCTGCTTAGAAACCTCCAAGGAAGGAGAGTCCACCACCTCCTGAGGGAGTCGGTTCCACTGTCGAACAGCTCTTACGGTCAGAAAATTCTTCCTGATGTTTGGAATACAGTAATCTCCTTTCTTGTAACTTGAAGCCACTGGTTCGAATCCTACCCTCCAGAGCAGGAGAAAACAAGCTTGCTCCCTCTTCTCACAGTGGCCAACTAAATACCTATGGGTAGTTCACAACCAGCGTCTAACTCAATGCCTATGGGAAGAAGAAGAAGAAGAAAAGAAGGAGTTTGGACTTGATATCCCACTTTATCACTACCCTAAGGAGTCTCAAAGCGGCTAAGATTCTCCTTTCCCTTCCTCCCCCACGACAAACACTCTGTGAGGTGAGTGAAGCTGAGAGACTTCAGAGAAGAGTGACTGGCCCAAGGTCACCCAGCAGCTGCATGTGGAGGAGCGGAGACGCGAACCCGGTTCACCAGATTACGAGACTAGCGCTCTTAACCACTACACCACATTGGCTCTCCCCAACCACAGTAGTGCTATCCCCAACCACAGTTCCCAGCAAACCAGTTTTCAGAGGTATAACTCTGCTGCTCCTACAGTGGAGGTAAAATACAGGGATTTGTGGCTAGTAGGCATTGATCGTTCTCCTACATGGATTTATCTAACCCTCTTCTGAAGCCAAGATACCTTTGCACAAGCAACGAGTTTCATTTCTGCATTTCCAACCTTCATCTAAAGGGTGCAGTCATTATACTCTTGTGGGTTTCTCTCCCCTCCTCTCTCTCGCATACACACACAGATTGATGTTTGTTTTAAATTACCATGCACAATTGTTTGCATCTCTGCTTTGTGGCTTAAAAGTAATTAAAAATTTAATCACAGATCTATGGTATCTGTCCCAGAGATCACTAATTGGGTGGGCTCATTAAAAGAAATGCAACTGAAACATGCCCGCCTGAACTTTCCAGCACAATTTACAGTTCATTTATTCTTTCAAATATAAGTCATTCAGTGTTAATTCTGGGAAGGGGACAGCTTATTATACAAATAAATACGCCTCTCTTTATAGTCAATTTTATTCTTCTGTAAGACAGTGCAACAATCTTGGAAACACTAGCTCCTTAAAACCGAAAGCTATAATGTACCAGACAGAAGATTCCCTTCCTTTCTTTCTCTCTCCTTTCAAATAATCATACATTTATGCACCACCGAGTTTAATCTACAGTGTCAAAGACTGACACATCCCTCTTAAAACTATGTACTCCTGGGCATAGATTAGGCAATAATGATGTGAAGGGAAATGCAGGAACAATCTAATGGGGACATTTCTGCTTTAATTTATGTACTTGTTCCCCTTAAAGAACTTTTTCATTATTAAAAAAAGATCTGGTTCCTTAAGGAACATCTCATCATGAGTAAAGGATTGTGAATAAATGGTTTCCTGAGCAGGTCGCTAGTGTCCTATAGACAACTAGGAGTCCACAGGGCACAATGAACATGGGAGGAGGGAGGGAAAAATCCCAGGACCTTGGATAGCTCCAAGAATGCAACATACTCCCAAGACTCTTGGGACTCAATGGAGGTATTTCATTCTGCTTGGGCCAGAATCCCCTTCTCAGGCTCTGCCCGCTTTCCGACAAGTGGGAATCCTTAAAGGGGTAGTCCCTGTCTTGGAGGGACAGGGCATTCTGCCACCCCACAGTCAATTCCCATAGCTCAGTGGTAAAGCATTTGCTTTGCATGCAGAAGGTTCTAGGTTCAATCCCTGGCTTCTCCAGGTAGGGCTGTTGGGAGCCTGAAACCCTGCAAAGTCACTGCCAGCTCATGTTGACACACAGAGCTAGATAGACCCACTGCAAGGCCTCTTCCTATCTTCCCACCTTCAGCAATTGCTTCATGAAGACCCTGTGTGCTGGGGTAACCCAAGCAACATGGTCCAGGTCCGGTCCTGAATCCAAGCGTTCTGCTAGGAGTCAGTCTGACAGGGCCAAGGCAGGACACGAGGCAGGAAACCAGGCAGGGTCTGGCACAGGGTCTCAGGCAGGTTCTAGCAAACAGCAACATTGCTCCCTCAACCTGGGGTGGGGTCCGACAGCCTTTTATCTTTGTCGGGGTAACGGCCGGTCCTGATCCCCCAGCGACTCATCTCCCTGTCTCGCCCGCAGGTGAGCACTCCTCCTGCGAGTACTCAGGTCTCTCCTTCTCTCAGACCTTAGTCTCTGCAGCTCAGGAGATGTCGGTGGGTTACTAGACCCAGAGGCTGCCTCAGCTTCTCCTGACCCAACTAGTAGTGGAGCAGCTGTAAGTGATTGCCCCACTGAAAGCAACAAGGTAATCCCTGCATCTGGAGCCAGGGCAGGCTCAAGCCCCTGACTTGGCCCAGCTGGTGCTTGTTGCAGGGGAACCTGTGCAGACTGGGGCTCTTCAGGATCAGGCCCCAGACTTTGTTCCAGTGCCATCTGAGGCAAAGGATCCAGTACGGACTGAGACTCCTCTGGTTCCGAGTCCCAGGCCATCACACCCTGTCATCAGCTTCTGAGCACCGGGGAAGCATCATGGAACTAACCAACAGAACAGATCCAACATGAATACCCTATGATCACGTTAAGAACATATTGCAGAAATGTTGGCATCCACCTGTCTCAAGACACAATGGAGTGTGCCTCTGGGGCTGAAGCCAAACTGCTGTGTTAGCAGCCTCCTTGGGGCACAAGCCTGGGCCGTGTGCATGGAAGTCCTGGGTTGCCCAGACGGCAGGACCTCCCTCTTGACCTCACTGATGTGTTCCAAAGGAAAGCAGAGCAAAATGTCTGGCACCAGCTTGGCTGCAGGAGTTGCTGGAAGGAGGAGGACAAGCTGCCACTCCCAGTGTCTTAGGGACTCTACTCTGGATTTGTGTAGGGTTTACTCCTTAACCTTTTCTTCTCCCGTACATATCCTGCAAGTCGATGGAGGTTCAGGATCAGACTTTTCCTTCTCCAGGATGGGCTTCCTTTTCACGTTGACGAGCCCCGTCTGCCCCTCACTTCCCTCTACAGCACGTGCAGAAACCACCTTCTTGTTCATTGGACCCACACTTGGCCTGACCTGCTCCATCTGCAGGAGCCTGTCTTTGCATGCAAGGCAAGTCCCTAACTCACTGAGGGTTTGAGACCCATCGCCTACTCTCACCTGGTTTAGCCAGCCAGTCGAAGCCACTCCTGGGGTGTGGCCACCGTTGCATGATGACAGCTCTCACCTATTAAAACACCAGTTGCTGGCGGGAGCAAGGGGCACTAGCTTTCTATGAGGGCGAACCTTTTTCGTTTGCACAGAGGAGTCCCAAGCAAGCACTAATCAACCTTCTCGGGCCTTAGTAACTGCTGGAGGTTGCCTAGTGCAGACACTGGCCTGCATGCAGAGGTTTAGCCCTAAATGGGTGGCTTTTCCATTCCCTGTTTCTTTACAGGGAATAATCATACAAGCAGCTGCTGTTTCACTATCGTGAGAGCAAGTTCTCTTAGAAAAAAATAATTGAAGGAGCCACACGGACATGATGTTTCTGGCTGCTGCAAAACTTCAATCACACCCTCCTTCTCCCAATTTCAATGCAAGCAGAAGTCTGTTTTTTCTCCCATCTAGAGGGCTGCTCATTAGCTAGTGTGCCAAGCCTTATATATATCAAGCATGCTTGAATCTCTTGCCACAGCTTAAGCTCACCCGATCTTAGAGCGTTCATGCTTTGCTCTCCTATGGACCTTTTATGTGACTTCTGCCTCACCCCACATTTCCTAGACAATGGACCCAAATGCTGGGAACAAAAGGATGAGACTGTGATTAGAGAGAGAGAAAAAGTGTGCTATCATCCACTCTTCTTCCTCATTTCAAAACCCCTCATTCTGAATGTATTTCAGATCACATGGTATGTTATTGTAGCCTCTTCTGGGGCTCTGTCTTTTCATGAAATCTCTGGTGCCTTAATCTGCAGAACAACCTCAACGCATCCTTTGACTGGAGACCTCAATTTTTCCTCTCTCCTCCTGCCCCTCAAAGGTCACTTCCATCTGGTACCAAGGCGAGCCCTTCCCTCTGTGTCTCACAGATTCTTCCCCTCCACGGCACACCGTGTTTCATCCATAAACCTGCATCACGCATTAGTGATACTTTTCTTACAAAAGTCATTTACCGAGGCAGCGAAATAGTATCGATCGCCAATGCCAGTGCCTGCGCTGTTCCAATCAGCAGCCTGACCTGTAACCTCTCTTACTTGAGTCTGCTCTTTCTTTATCTCTACCCAGCTTCAAATTCCACAGTCAGGGAGTGCCGTGATGGTGGGGTCTGAGAGAGCTGGTAGAATGGAAAAGAAGGATTTATGGGACCCTCAGACTGGGATGCGGGGAGACACCCAGCAGGTAGGTGGGCAGACAGTGGAGTAGAATTCTCTTGGTCAAGTCGTGTGTTCTAAATGCGCAACTGGATGTGCTCCAAATCTATGGATCGGCCCCGGATCTAGCCAACACAACAGGCACTACCTGTTTCCCAGCCTGACCCAAAAGATGTTTATAGCTGAATCAGGCCAGGGGAAACCAATGGGCAACCTAAGAGGACATCACAATCTTAGAAACCTTGGGCAGTGGAAACAATGATCCAAAAACCGCTAACTCCAAAAAATGGGCAGAATCTTTCCACTTCTCTGCAAATGCTATGTGGATATCTGCATTGAAGCTCTGAATCTGTTATGCCTACAGTTCTATGCACCTGCCATGTTTTGCAAAATCTTCTTTGCAAGTGTTCCACATACCATACAAAAAAATACCTCTCTCTCTCTCTCTCTCTCTCTCTGTGTGTGTGTGTGTGTGTGTGTGCAAAGAGGTGCACATTTATGCAATACTCTATATTGCTTTTGTAAGGGAAGAAAACAGCATGAGCAGATGTTGCTGCTGAAACCCGCTTCTCAAATGCTTAAATGCCAGCAGAAAGGCGACCCGGTCTACCACCCAGGTAGGCAAAAACAGTTCAATTCAAGCTAATGGGACACACAGAAGGATTCCTTTCAGCTGCTGCAGCGAAGGAGAGGCTTGTAAGATGTAGGGTGAATGATCCAGGAGAGAAGCCTGCAGAGCTCGTTCAAAGACTGGGTTGCCATTTCAAGACATGTGCTGATGCTGTATCCCCTTGGATTTCCTCTTTCATGGGCTCTCTGGCCTTCCAGCATCCTGCCATGCCATACTTGCTACCAAGACAGCCCAGTCCCTACTGTCCCCAAGAGCCTGCGTGAAGTTTCTGCAGAGCTGGAAGTCAGGAGACAATAGCAGAATGGGAGAGCTCAGGAAACCCTAAGCAGCAACTGTCAGTTAGTGGGGAACCTTTTTCCTGTCAAGGGTTGCCTTCCCTATAGGTTAATCTGGTGGAGGCCTGCATGCCAGCAGTGAGCAGGAACCTGAGCAGAATGCGGCCCCTTCTTTCTCTTTCTTTAGTGCTGCCACTGCCTTCCCCTTTTCTGCCACTCACTTCTATTATTTGGTAATCACATTTATATGCCACCTTTTTCGCCAAGGAACTGAAGGACATGTGCACGGTTCTCTCCACCCCAATTTTATTCTCACAACTCTGTGAGGTAGGTTAGGCTGAGAGGCAGTGACTGGGCGCAAGGCCACCCAGTGAGGTTTGTTTGTACCCTGGTTTCTCAGGTCCTGGTTTAGCACACTAACAACTACCCCATACTAGTATGCGCTCTCTCTCTCTCTCTCTCTCTCTCTCTCCACCTCTCCCCTCTCCCCCCACATTTCTCACCACCCACATGAAATTAGACCAAGGCCCACATGTCTGACTCACTCTAAGGTACCTTCCTATGCTCCTAGGTAACAACCAGACAGTCAAACAAGTGTGTGCTGTTAGGATTTTTATCCATCCATGCTGCTCCAGCAGTAGCACTATGTTTTGTGTTTATTATGCGAGTGTCTGAGAGAGCGTGAGACAGGAAGGCTCAGTACTGTTGGAAGTTGGTTTCACTTCTGTTTGTGATGCTGTTCTGTACTGGCGCTCAAAGAGCACAGACATGCTGATGGATTCTCTGTACATAGACTGTAAAATAAAGTAGTTTAGAGCTACTGATGGACTCTTTCTTCTGCTATGATATGCCAGAAGACAAGTGTGCTCCTCTCAGGAGGGAGGGGTCACTTATCACTGGTCTCTCTGGATTGAGGGAGATTTACAGCCAGGGAGGACCACCGGAGAGGCGAATGGTGTATAAACGTAGAATATAGAACAAAAGCACAACTTGTAAAAAAACCAATGCCAGCAAGAATGAAGTGCTGCAGAAATAAAGGGGAACTAATTCAGGAAGGTCCCATGGACTGCAAGAAGATGAAACATCTCCATTCTGAAGAAAATCAGCCCTGAGTGCTCACTGGAAGGACAGATCATGAAGCTGAGGCTCCAATATTTTGGCCACCTCATGAGAAGAGAAGACTCCCTGGAAAAGACCCTGATGTTGGGAAAGATGGAGGGCACAAGGAGAAGGGGACGACAGAGGACGAGATAGTTGGCTAGTGTTCTCGAAGCTACCAGCATGAGTTTGACCGAACTGCGGGAGGCAGTGGAAGACAGGAGTGCCTGGTGTGCTCTGGTCCAGGGGGTCACGAAGAGTCAAACACGACTAAACAACAACACAATTCAGGAAGGCCAGGAAGACAAGTCTGCAACAAGCATCAAAAGAACAACCATGTTTGCGCTTGCTTCACTCCCATGGGATGAGAATTCCAAAGAACAGGTGGAACAATGCTAAAATAACATGCT